AACTCCCGTCTGAGGTCGAGTTCTGCCTAACACTTAATTTTCTTGGGTATTCATGAAAACTTGGAAGAATCCAGGCTATGAACCGACAGAGAGTTCAAAAATTCACAACTTCACAAAATATCGAAATAACACATGTACATATGTACATATATATATATATATATATATATATATATATATATATATATATATATACGTGTGTATATATATATACAGATAAATATACAAGTATAAACATACGTCTACGTATGCTCATGCACATATGCATGCACATACGCGTATACACACGTACATATGGAAACGCACATATATATATATACACAAATATTATATATATATATATATATATATATATGTATACATATAAAAAGATAAAGGATAAAGCTCTTGGCGTTGATCAATCCCTGAGGGATGCGCCATGCAATTGTATTCTATTTAGTTTCGTTTAAGGTGACAGAGTGCATATCAACCTTCACAATGACTCGCAGTGGCCTATCCCCGCATGAAGTCACTGCTGATATCCTCCCAGATAAGTCATATCAATTCAACGACACTGGAAGGATGAAGGCTTGATGAGCCTTGGCAGAATCGAACATCCGATCATCGACTGAGCGATCTATATATGTCGCAGAGCAGCTCTAACCACTGCGCTATAGATGCTCTTAGAGAAAAGAGAAGAAAAAAGAAAACTCACGATGGATCTGGCAGAGCAGAGTTGTTCCCATTCATGTATGGACACGGCAATTCGTCAGATGTGACAGCCGGCTCCATCCTGCAAAAAGGCACAACTTCTTGGGCCAAAAGGACAGAAAGAACGGACTTCAGACAGCAATACTTGAGAGGCATCAATCACAACGAACACTGAGATTCGAGTAGGAAAAACAAGACATGCAAACATTACATTCCTCGCTAGTGCTAACTTAAGAGAAAGGCGCCGCGGCCGAGTGGTGGTGATGTCCATCGCGGCGGCGGGTTCTGGCTAAGCCCCGCCCCAACACTCTCCGGCGGTCCAGAACGAACGCTCTACTCAACGGCGCAGCCAGGCTATCCTCGAGATTGCAAAGAGACGTGTCTAACCAGTATTCTACGACGTTCAAGAAGAAGACGAGAAACGAACTGAATTCTAGTAAAGGGATGAGCAGAGTAAAAAAGGAAACGCTGTGAAAATGGATAAATAAAGTGTAAAAGATAACACATGATGGTTTTAGGGAAATGAGCTTTTTTACAAAACACGGAAAAATATATCCGATAATGTGGAGTGCTGTGCAAAAATACTTGCGTCAGCCGGGACTCGAACCCACATCTCACTCTTTCCGGGAGCGTATGCTAACCATTGCACCACCGAGGCTCGTTCTGCACAGTACTCTTTTCACGCTATAACGCGTTATCTGCCAACAGCCAATCGTCTAAGGTCTTACTCCCGCTCCCGCAAAGAGTAAGATCTGGGTTCGAGTTCCGGCTGACGCAAATGCTTATGCACAGCACTCCACATAATTGGGTGTACTGTAACATCACACCACCGCAAGTGGCGGTCAAATAAAAAGAATTCACACGGAAAATGATCGATTGGTTGAGCGGAGATCCGACAGGAGAAGGAGGCACATTAAGAAATATTTCGAAGTGGCTCGTATGACATGCATCCAGGTCAGAGTGGTAACGAATGATCAGGCGCCGTCCAATGCGGCATAAAGAGTCGTTTCGATAGTACTATTCAATAAAAGATTGCTGTGTTGTGACTTCGTCACAAAATCGTCAGGATAGAATCCTCAGTCGAATGGATATGAAGAATTTAACCCTTTGACATGAGTCGTTTTCAGCTCACGTCTCTCTCTATCTCTCGCGCGCTCTCTCTCTCTCTCTCTCTGTCATTCGTCTGTCTCGAAGTAAATATGAATTAGCGCGCGATTTCGCGCAGATCTGGTACTTAATTCATGAACTTATTCCATTATTCCTATCCTTATTTCAGATATTTGGTAATTATTACAAAATCTAAGACTAGCAGTTCCACGGTACCCTGCATACATCATTTTTGTTACGTTCATTTTATGCATTCACTTATGATTACTTGCAAATTTCTTCACGAACTACCTCACTGTCATTGTGGCTCGCCACGTGACCGCGTCGCGTGGCGTGCAAGACTTCAACGTCGTTCCCGAGGGGTAAAGGCGCTTGCGGCGCAGTGCTTTAGGATGCTCTGCGACACACACATGGTCGATGGTTCAGTTCTGAGCACAAGACTCACCAAACTTTGCATACCTTCAGGATCAGTGAGCTGGTATTGGACTTATCTGGCTTTGAAGCTGTACTGAATTGATACATCCATCGGTAGGCAGTCGCGAATCGTTATAAAGCTCAGATATGCGTCCAGCCACCACTTAAGATGATGGATGAAGACGAATGAATGGCTCATTATTAGGGAGTTGATGAAAGCTGAAAGCTTCCTACTCATCTCTTCATTGGACAAAATTACAATTTTTTGAAGGGGAAATCAAAAATAGAAGGAAACTACCTAAGTAGATTGGAACTGTCAAGAGACCATAATTGCAACACACACTTCAAAATCGCCTTCAATTATACCCCTTTATCTGTTATAACGAGCGCATGTGGCGCAGTGGTTAGAGGTGCTCTGCGTCGCGCCCAGGTCCAAGGTTCGACTTCGCGCTCATGGCTCACCAAGCCATCCATCCCTCCGGAATCGGTAAATTAATACCAGACAGGTCTGAGACTTGTCTGGAAGGATAAGCAGCACTGACTCGGTTCAGTGGGAGGCCACCGCGAGTCATTGTAAAGGTCAGATATGCATTCAATCACCTCTAATGAAGTTATGAATTGAAGTCGAATGCATGGCGCATCCCACAGAGATTAATCAAAGCCGAGAGCTTTACCCTTTTTTTATCCTTTACCTATTATGAATAAATTTGTGATTCACCCGCCTATAACTCCCGAAAAATCGATGGCCATTGGTGAAATATCGTGGTAAACAGTCAGGTGGTAGTGCCATTGCGATGGAATGATATACAAAATTAAAAAGTACGTCACTATGGCATGACTAAGGTAGAGATATATAAATTAACCTGGTCAACATATTGACGAGCGATAGCCCAAGGCGCTAACCTCGCCTCCGTCACCAGCCCTCAGTGACGCGCAGTCGAGTGCATCGCGAAACAGACTCTGGGTCCCTTCGTTACTAAGGCTTGTGACGGGGCGGAGCTAGCGTCTGAGCCAACGTGTTAGCCCTTTGACTTCCACGGACCCAGTGGTGTGTCTGACTGGCAAGGGTGGACTGTCTGTCCCACCTCTTACTCAGCGACTGTAGTCCCCAACGTGGGAATCGCTGTCTGCCTCACCTCTCTCTGCCGTTCATCGCGAGGAAAGTTGGTGGTACGATCCCCTACCACAGCACTTCACTGTGGCTTTTTTTTGGTATCATCTTTTTGATGTCAATTAGTACTAAAGGTTCTTCTATAACGTAACTATTATAGCAAAAAGCGCTCAGTTGTCCAAAATTTCACTACTTTTTGATACAAAACGTAGATTTATGGGGGTAATAACGCACATTCAACTTTTTCGCCTGATTGACAATACCAGATGACATGCCAGGTTTCTTACGTAGTGATGGACAGCCTGAACATTTGCAAATGGTTTCACTGAAGATATTTGGAGAGGTATGAACTAGATGAAGTACAGGGGACTGTGTGGGGACTGGAGCACCCACAGAGATAAGCAAAAGAACTACCCGACTGGCGAGATCGTAAGATCGAAACACGTGTATCGGGCTCTATAAGTCAGCCCTCATTGATAGACCACTGACATGCGTGGCTCAAATAATGATTATCAGGCATACAAGGAACTGTCTTGAGGGCATATCGAATTGAAAAGAAATAAGTAGCTCACATGGATTTGAGATCTTTTTCTAAACTAACCTACATGAGAAAATATCACACTGTCATTTAAGCGAAAAAACTTGGATATGCGTTGTTACCCCATGTATTTGTTTTGTATCAAAAAGTAGTGAAATGTTAGACAAGTAGGCCTTTTTTTGCAATGATAATTACGTTATAGAAGAACCTCCAACACTAATCGATACTGAGAAGATAACCCAAAAAAACCACAGTGAAGTGTTTTATGGGGGATCGAACCAGTAACCTTCTTCCCGATGGACAGCAGAGAGAATTGAGACCGACAGTGATTTCCACGCAGGGGGTTACAGTCGCAGAGGAGGAGATGGAGCCATTCTTATGCTGGGGTGAGAATGGCAGAGATGGTGGGGCAGACAGTCCACCTTTGCCAGCTAGGCACGCAGATTTGGGTCTGTGGAAGTCAAAAAGTTAAAGGCACAAAAGACATTAGTATGCCATTCATGACAAAGTTGATGCCTTTCAAACTCAGTAGTCTATGCTAATGTACCTGATTACCACGAGAACAATGAATTAACCCTTTGAAAACCATGAGAATCATTTTGATGCTCACCGTGCGACGTCGAATCTCACTCAGCTACTGTAATGGTGGCGTCGCGTCTTGTGGGAAAGCAGGCGAACAACCAGACACGCATGCATAGATCTGCGGAGCCGCTTGTCTAAATGTCGCGTAAGTGACGGCGCGACGTCGCCTGCCGATCAACGCTGGTCCTCAAAGGGTTAGTGTGTTAAGTTTAATTTATAACACAGAACAACAAACGACTGCATGATTTCTGAGATACTACTACCTACGAAAAGTTCGAGTAAGAGTTTTTTTTTCTGCAAGTATGATGTAACATTTCAAAAGACAAGGGCACTAAACTGTATGAGTGAACATAGGTCTACTAACATCCACACTACTCTACCAGGGGCATACATGAAAAATCTCTTATGCTAGTCGATAATTTCAGAACGCTTAACTAAGCGCATAAATGTGAGCAAAGTGTTCATGAAAATCCAGAAATTCTTATGTTCTCGCGTCTTTTTCGCAGTGTTATGATGTTTCAAGTATATCTCAGAGAACTGAGTGATAGGCAAGAGACCGATCTCAGGCGGGAGTTGAACCTGCACTTCACCCATACAGGAGGCGCGTGCTACCACTACACCACCAAGACGCCGCTTACTCACCACTCATTCTCCAATATCTCTCCTCTCATAGCTATCAGCCACGAATCTTTAACAGGTTTAGTCGAATTAGCAATATGGATCTTAAAACCCGGTTAAGCTGACTCAAACAAAAAGAATTAAGAGTTAAGACAAAAAAACCAACAAGAGAACTCTTGGATTTATATAATGTACCATGGCTGTCAGCTCAGATTAGTTTATAAAGCGATACTGCTTACTTGATCGAACCTGTTAAGGCTTAGTGGCTGATAGCTGTGATAGAGAGATATTGAAGAATGAGTGATGGATAAACAGTGGCCTCTCCGGTGTAGTGAAGGCACGCACCCCCTGTATGGGTGAAACGCGGGTTCAACTCCCGTCTAAGGTCGAGTTCATGCCTACCACGCAATTTTCTTAGGTGTTCATGAAAATCTGGAAAAATTCGGGCTATGAACCGACAGAGAGTTCAAAAACTTACAAGTTCACAAAATATCGCAATAACACATCCATATATATGCATATATATATACATATATGCACGTGTATATATATGTATACAGATAAATACACATGTATGTACATACGTTTACGTATGCTCATGTACATATATGTACATATGCATGCATATACGCGTATATACACGTATATATGGAAAGGCATGTACATATATGTATAAATGTAAAAAACTAAAGAATAAAGCTCTTGGCGTTGATCAATCCCTGAGGGATGCGCCATGCATTCGTCTTCAATTTTTAACTTCGCTCGAGGTGATTGATTTCATATCTGGCCTTTACAATGACTCGCGGTGGCCTCCCGTTGTATCGAGTTAGTGCTGCTTATCCTCCCAGACAAGTCTGAGATCAGCCTGGTACCAATTTACCAACTCCGGAGAAATGAATGGCTTGTTTAGCCATGTGCGCGAGATCGAACCACTGACCTCGTGTGGCACGCACAGCACTTCTAACCACTGCGCCACATGCGCTCTATTGGATATATATATGTATATATATATATATACATATATATATAATATGAATCTCGAAAAAAAACTAGTGCGCTGCGTTTTTGGTCCCGGGGGCCGCATGCACAGATTCCAACATATTCACATCGCTTTGAGACAACGGAGGGTCCCCCTCACCATGCTCGATTGGGAGCGGTGAACAATTAAACTAACCTGTAAGCTAAGCTCATATCTGGAACAAATAACTGGCAAGTGTACGGCATTCATGCTCTTAGGCAACCAATAACGAAAAGAAGATTTAGCTGTCTTCGTAAAAGGTCATTAAACCGAGAGTAAAACGTCCTATTGGCAGAATAAAACCGTGAAAGAAGGGAAATTGATAGCAAAATGAAGACCGTGGGTGTAAATATGAAATATCTTCCAACTCACTTTTGGAGAAGTATTATTAACTGAGTGATTAGGGATCGTCGTTGTTAATTTACAATTTTAACTAAGAAGACTAGCAATGGTGTAGTGTGTTTCACAGTAGTGCTAAAGTGATGACTGACAAAAAATGGAGCGTTTTAATTTCAAAGAACCCACATTAATCCAAACATGGCTACAGATTAGAACATACAGGACATTATATATATAAGTATATATATATATATGTATTAGTATATGTGTATATGCATATATATGCATATATATATATACGCACACATACATATACAGGCATACATAGACACTACCGAAGATATGTATCTGCAGCAGATGGGTGCTCAGTTGCAACAGCCATAAAGCACAGATTTGAAGAAGCGCGGGCAAACGGCAGGCTTGGGGTCGGGTGACAGAGTACACATTCTATTTCGAAATCGGTACGCAGCCATTGTTTGATACTCAGCCATTTGAGGATGATATAGTGTAGCAACTCGTATAAGCCAGATGTTTGGAGCAATAGGCATTATAACACTGTATATTCAATCATGTTAAGTGATATGCAAAACATTCGATTCAGGAAGAAGTTGGACCCGCGCTTCACTTATACTGGCGGCGCGTACACCCAGAGGTCACCGCTCTACTGTCACTCTTCTTTCGATATAATTTATCACCGATATTAGCAACCAGCGATTCACGTGTTTGGTCCGGTAAGCACATAGGTATCTAATCCACTTAGGCTGACAGCTATTGGATATATTGACAACCGTTAAGATGCTTTCACCGAAAACATTCGATCCTAGCTGGGATTTGAACCTGTGCTTCACTAATAACAGGCGCGTTTGCTACCATTACATCACCGCGACTGCTATCAGATTTGTTGACCACTGTTGTTGTGTTGACAGTGGATCACGTGAGAGAGGCACGCAGCCATCCGAGGATAAACTATTGCTGCAATACAATGTGAGGTTACATGCCTGAAACAACAAACACCAAATGACATATTAAGTAGCAGGATTCGGAACATTTTTTTACAGAAAATCTTCTCTATTGACATTTCCGCATACCAACCACTATGAAAATTTTCTATCGCTGAGCTTGATGACCGTAGGGAATAGCTCCTTTGCTACTGCTCCTGTTGTTGAAATTGCTGCAGTCATAATCAGTTATTACTACTTATACTCACTCATAGAATGTAAAGTCCACTTTGTAGCGGAGTCTTTTCTCGGGTTCTATAAACTATTTGCGACCTAAGTACTTCTATGTTGACTACAGATTACGTCGAGTTTACCTTCATTTTTTCCTATCAACTCATTCCATAATCTGGCAGCGATGCAAAAGAACAAAGCTGAAAGTGATAAAACAGTAATCATTAAGCAAAAAACGGCTTTTTTAAATTTGCATATGGATAACGACATTTCCCATGATGGCTTTCAATAATAATGGAAAACCTAAAGCGGTTACTAAGAGAAAAGGCAAATCTAAATCGATTCTTGAATGATTTTTCTTTTGAAAGCACTTCAAACTTTTCAAGCTTTCGCAAAAAACAAGCAGTTTTTATCTTGATAATAATCTTATCTTTTCATTCATCATACAATGAGAAAACTTGTGTTTTATTTTCCAATATCCTTTCACTGTGACAGCCTTCAGTGTAGTTGGCGAAAAAAACTATAATTTGAGTGATAGATGCCTGCTGGAAGGCGTAACCGTGTTTCTGCTCGTGTGAATTATGAGCTTCAGGAGCGAAAAGTACCGATGTGGCGAGAATATCTTCGTTTTCTACCGGTGCCGATAGAGATTATTGAACTGAAAATAGTGGAGCTCGATTTCTGTCTCTCTATATCATTCTTTTGCAACCCGCGTTTAGACACAGAAAAATATTGACGGTGAATCAATGTTTCCCTCTTAAGCAAGCACGAAATTGTCAACAAAGATTTATTCAGTATTAAGCCGACCTTTCAGCGATTTCATTTCCTTCCAAGCATGAAAAAGCCAAATTGACAAGTAGCTTGATCGGTCTACTACTTACACAACCTCAATGAAAGGTCAGCAGGTCAAATGTGCTCACAAAGAATTTCTTCCTGTCCTTGATTTTTGAGAATTGGTTCGTGGTGATGGTGACTTTCATTTCGAAATCTTTCCCTTTGTAGCTTCGTGTCCTATCCGTGCCAGTGAAGGGCTCTGTTTGACCTGAATTTTCCATTTAAGCGCTTTGTTCTACGGTCACAGAGTGGTGTACATTGCCACCTCGTTCAAATGCGTTATAAAAGGAATTAGCTAATCTGTACCGGAACTATTGCGATCATCTTTATCGTTGAGGCATTTTATACGATTCAGCGTCGCACATAGATGGTTATAAAAGCGGTTATGATTAGCTAAAAAAATTCCAGAGTGTTTGGTTGTTTTCCAATCACTGCCACAAAATTCTCTGATCTGGCCTTTTTTGGAGCGATCTTTAGGTACTTAAAGCTAAATACAAGCTCTCGGCTTAGACCATTCCCTGAGGGGTGCGCCATGCATTCGACTTCAATTTTTGATTTCATTTGAGGTGATTGAATGCATATCTGGCCTTTACAATGACTCGCTGTGGCCTCCCGCTGAACCGAGTCAGTGCTTCTTGTCCTCCCAGACAACTTTGAGACCCGTCTGGTACCAATTTACCGACCCCGGAGGGATGGATGGCTTGGTGAGCCATGGGTGTGAGATCGAACTACTGAACTCGTGTGTGACGCAGAGCACCTCTAACCAGTGCTCCACATGCGCTCTTTAGGTACTTATTCTGTTGAAAACGAGGAGTAGGATAAACGAGGGCTTGTTTTTTTTATTGAATACCTCACCCTTTCCTAGACAAAAAAAAACTGACTATTCGAGCAACGTCAAGGTTAATAGCAGGTCAGTCTTGGGAAATACAGTCGTAAAGGTCCGTTCAGATACCAATGATTCTCAGACACCGCTAGGCTAACGACTTATTACTTCGAGACACCTATTTTATAGTTCCTCTACTCGATCAGTCAGAAGTGTTTGATGAAAGCGTCAGAGAGCTACGTTGCAAGAAAGCTCGTCGAATAACTTCAAGATGACATCCTGCTGGCATTACCTTGGGACCTAGAGCATTCCACATATTCGCCATTTTCTTGAAGGCAGCTGTACGCGAACATGGAGACGAAATGTGTAATGTTATAAAGTGATGGGAAGATACAAAGAGTGTAAATATACTGCAAAACAAGCCAAACATTATGTGATAAGATGGAGTTATATTTGAAACATTATTTAAATATCGGACGATTACGATTGAAACGATGTGGTTCTATGCGAGCTTTGATCATCTTCGTTGCTTACGCACCAACATCAAGCTATGACGAAGACGAAGTCGAAGCGTTCTATATGGACCTTGGAAAATTCTCCAGAGAAGATCATAAAATCTTCAAGGTCCTTGTCGGAGATTTCAATGCAAAAATTGGACCTAGAAGAACGTCTAAAGAACGACACATTGGGACGCACGGACTAGAATGGAACGAACAGGGTCAGAGGTTACCCGAATTTATCATGACGACCCAAGCCATCCATGGAAACTCACAATTCCAAAAACCTCACTCTTAGCGATGGACATGGGAGTCTCCCACTGGAGAGAAC